CAAACAATGCTCGTCCAGTAGGGACCGGCAGACAGAATCCGATGCAACAGCACACCAGCCTCCAAACACGTCTCCACACCTCACTAATGCGAGAACATGGCTCCTTGACGTGCCTCCACAGCAATTTGAGAGGTCTTAGGAGTAAACTACTGCGGCCAAAAACAGTGAGCCATAATCTATAAGCAGATATAATTCTCGTCATGGAGACTTTAACACAGAAGCAATCGACTCGGGATGTGAAGTAAGATATGGGCATAAATCTTTCAAACACAAACTACGACATTCGTTTATGACAGCTGGACCGATACAGAAGGTTGGGGAAAGCACGAGATGGGGACCATAGGGAAAAGAGTCACCGGTAGACTACGTTCTAACAGACGATAATCTTTTGGTGGACGATATAGGCGTCCAGCCTCCCCCCTAGGTAAAAGTCGCCACACATTGGCGGGATTCTCCCTGACAACAAAGGAGACACTACCAATAGTTGAGCCAGAAGCGTTCCGTCGCTATCGAAATGCGGACTACTACTTCATGAACAACGAATTCCTTCAGGCCGCATGGCCACAACAATGACACTCAGTATCGATGAACGAACACCGGATACGTATTAAAGATATTACCTGGAGCGCCATCATTAGGTGATCCGAGATTGAACACCTCTCAGACGGTCTTGGGTAACTCGCGCAACCCAAAGGCGTGGTATCAGTGGCCTGCATCACGCAAAGAATCAGACTTTCATAGCCAAAAGACGTTACGCGACTTATGTAACACAAGAATTGGCAGTGACAAATATACATGCCACAGCAACCCGGCTAACCAGTTAAGTTACAGTCCGAAAAGTCTGTATAGGTCTGTGTCGCAACGCAAACCGGCGAATAAGCGTTTAAACCTGACAACAGGGTCGGCCGGAGGACCTATAAACAGCAGTGAGATAGCAGAACTATTGAGCAGTCGATCTGATGGGCAACTCGACCCAGTAATACATCTACCATCGACATCAAGTGATGTAACGAAGTCTCAGGACTGCGATACGAAGCTGATGAACGTGGAGATTTCGTCAAACCAATTGTTCGCGAAACTTTCAAAGCTGAGAAAAGAGGAATCACGGGGCTGTGATGACATAAGACCGGTGGTCCTGCTCGACTGTGCTGAAGTGCTAAGCATGCCTAAATGCAACCTCTTCACGCACTCGTTGGAAGTAAGTCAACTACCCGAAGAATGGAAACGCACCATTCTTTCACCAATTTTCGAAGAAGGAGACCGAGAAAACCTGTGCAACTACAGACCGATAACATTACTCCCCGTACTTTTCAAGGTACTGGAAAGCCTGGTTGCGGATGCTGTTTGGGAGTACCTGAATGGAAACAGCATCGCCCATCCCACGCAGCACGGCTTCAGAACCGGGCAGTCATGTGCCACAAACTTGATGACCTCTTGGGATGACTGGATCACTAGGTGGGACAACAAACAACCAGTCCACGCTGTCCTCTTGGACTTGGTCAAAGCCTTCGATAGCGTCCCACAATGCAGAATGCTCGCTAGACTTGCAGAAGCGGGTATAACTGAACCACTCTTAGCATGGTTTACAGCATACCTAGGGGACTGAGAATTCTGCATTAAAGTAAACAGAATTCGACCTGGCTGGAGGGATGCAAAGACAGGAGTTTCTGAAGGAGCGTTCCTTGGGTCACTCCTATCTTCACTATTCATAGGTGACCTCCCCATTGAAATCCCTCATCTACCCTATTCGCTGACGACATCAAATTACGGAGGACGGTAGGTGACGAAGAGGCCCCTAGGATACTCCAAAACGACCTGTTGCAGCTGGGTCCTGGTTTAAGCTTCGACCTAGAGAAATGCACACCAAAAGCGATGAAAATCAGCTATACTCTTAACAAGTATACAGTCACCAAGGTATCCACAGAGAAGGACCTGGGACCAAACATCTGTAACACACCGGATACTAATGGCTTTTGTTAGGGAATGACAGCAAGGGCGAACACCCTCATGCACTTTCTAAGAGGACAGCTTGGATTGTTGACCACAGAATTATGCCTTATGGTATTTAAAACCTGCGTTAGAGCACACCTAGGGGTGTTCAGCATGACAGCCCCCAGGACTAAAGGGAGACACAAATACTCTCAAGAAGGTACGAGGAAGAGCAATAAGGTCGGTTGTCGGACTAACAGCAAGACATGCGCAACCGCCTCAGACACTCAGCTCGTTCACTCTAAGTTATCAAAGGAGATGCGGTGACCTGATAACGGCCTACAAGAACATTCACCAAGTGGACCACCCAAATATGTCGACGTTATCGGTCCGAAACCAAAACCCCACTCGCACACCCCAACATAGGGCAAAGGCGAGATCTAACTTCTCACACAGAATATATGCCTTAAGGGGCGCTTTGCTGAGGGAAGTGGTCACAAACTCATCGGTCGGCTCATTCAAACGACTATGTGGGGCAAATGGCTTACCAAGAGCATTTGTCAGTAGCAACCGATGATACCCCTTTCGATCCTTGTGCTCCCCAACCATAAAATCTGCAATAAGAAGCATCCCTCCCTCGTAATATTACCAGTTACATTTAGCTTTCGATGAGCGCTTTCACTTCTCTTTTTCTCGTTCCCCACGCACCCTGTTTCTATCTCCTTTTAAGTAACGCTTAACACTTACTTGCAGGTGCCTACAACAACAGGAATTGCAAATGGTTGACTGATCTTATCAGCAGCTCAGTTGCCCCCAAAATGGATTAAGTTACAAGTTACAGATAAAAAACCTTCCAATAGACAATCACTACCTCCAAAGGTATAAGCAGGAAGACGCAAAACTTCTGCTACCATCGAAGGACCACAGCCGAACAAAAAGAATCCAGTCTCCAGACCTAGGAGCGAGAGCTCAAAAACTACGAGTTTCGCGTACTTGCACTATTGATGTCAGATGTTGGATGCTTCCATTATCAGAAGTTGGCATTCGACTGGCTAAATTATAAAGATACCCGTAACAAATGTACAGTAAGGATCAGAAATGACAGAATAAACCGCCAGACACAACGTTGTAGAACCCTGGATGGGAATCATGGGGTACTGTACTCGTTGACGAAACAGAAAAGTAACAGTTCACCAGGTTTACAGGACCCCATTAGTTTAGAGCTTCTCTGTTCCAACTCGAAGTTGCAAACCTACTAGCTCATGAATTCCAAAGCAACTGTTATTTGGGAGGCAAAGCCCCGCCTCTGTAGGACACCAGTATTACAGATAGACTAAACCATATAGAGCTTAAACCCTCTGTAATTACGGAAGTATTTAAGGAACTGAACCCGAATAAGTCTCCAGGAATCGATGGGATTCACCCGAGAGCGCTCAAAGAGTGTGTTGAAGTTCTGTGCGCCCCACTAGCAAACCTCTTCAAATGCTCGTTTCTGAAAGGCAGGTTACACTCTGATTGGAAACGAGTGGCTGTCGTCCCAGTTTATGAAGGTGGAAACAAACTACTCGCCTCCAACTACAGACCGATCCCTCCGGTTGCGAAGGTCATGGAGAGAGTCATAAATGGCTCACTTCGTGGTCAATTACTTCAGAAATCAATCCTAAACGACTGCCAGAATGACTTTCAACCAGGAAGGTCATGTAACACAAACTTGTTGATAGCTTGGAATAGCCGGACACTCTCTGTCGAGCAGAAAAAGCCTATGCACATTGGTTTACTTGACTTTTCTAAGGCCTTTGACAGAGTAAATCATGATATCCTTTGTAAGAAACTCCAGCTGATGAGCTGATGATGAGATTATCTGTACACTAGGATGAAGTCAGAGTTAGCTCCTCTCTATCCTGTTGATTCCTGATGCTGAGTGGTGTGCCTCAAGGTTCTATACTGGGCTCACTACTGTTTCTTGCTTTATCAATGACCTACCAGGGGTCCTTAATTCGCGTTCTCTATTATACGCCGATGATCTGAAAATTTGTGGGGAAATACAGGAGCCAGCGGATAATTCGATCTTCCAAGAGGACCTTAAGGAAATGCTTAATTGGACTACAGAAAACGTGCTTCCTCTCAACTCGAAGAAGTGTCTAATTATGATAGTTGACAAACATAAAGGCAGTCCCAGTTCTCACTCTCTAGGTGAAATAAATATCTGTCACTCTAACATGGGATAAGATCTGGGAGTTACACTAAGTGATGCACTAGGAGCCTCATTTCACTGTCTCCTTGCAGCCAACAAAACTTATGGAATCCTGGGGTTTCTCTCGCGAACCTTAGGGCGTCTAACTCCTCTTTTCACCACAGTGTATGCTCCGTACATTCGTCCTCATCTAGAAAAGAATTTGCTTGTAATGTCCCCATGCTTGAAACATGACATGGCCATCCTAGAACGGATACAGAGAAGAGCTCCAAAGAAAGTGATTGGGCTGTGGCACAAACCGTACCCAGACCGCTTGGTTGCTCTTCAGCTGCACCCACTACAATACCGGGGGATCAGAGGGGGATATGACCAGGATGTACCACAACGCCCATAATCCCCTCTATCCTAACAGATCCCTTCTAAGCTTTAGTCGGAAAAGTGACCTGAGAGATCACCTGTTAGGAATACAGCATGAGAGAGCACGTACAAAGATCCGTGCTAACTCATTTTGCAGTTAGAGTCTGTAAACTGTGGAATTCCCTCCCTTCAGTAGTTGTTGCAGCCCCATCCCCTGATACCTTTAAAAGGAGGCTAGACGCACACCTCGAGTCCCACGGTACCGATGGGTTATACTCGAGAAGCTTTCCCTAGATCAGATGCAGTAATACTAACTTGAGACCAGATTAATTAATTAATCGTATCTCTATTCTTCCAGGTTTTTCAGAACCAGGAAGATAATTGTGACCATTCCAAACTCAGAACGTATTCCAATAAGACAGAAGTAGAACCCAAGGAACCGCAGTTCACTAATTCTGCAACACGAAGTTTGAAGTTTGACTTACAAAAATTTGAAGATTGAAGTGAGCGCAGAATTTCAAGTATACGCTCCCTTTGTTGCACCGTACATGTGAATTGCTTTAAGGTGGGAAGCTACCAGTGAAATGGATGTAAAAGCTGGTTAGTTTCTTAGTGTTTTATGATTGAATAGAGGTATTTTTTCTTGTTGTGAAGCTGTTGGAAGATGAGGGTTGTTCAAGTGCAGCAGAGGTAATCCATTATTTGTTGTTAACCTTCGAGCATTTCAGTTATTGAAGAGGTTTATTGATGAAAAAAAAGTAAAGAAGCGTTTAATTTTGATATTCCTTAGTTATTGCCAGCACGTATCAATACAGTTGGTGTACCGTTCGATAACACTTATGACAACTATGTTTGTCCTGCTTCACCGTTGATCATTTTAACTTTAGGATAGCCTGCATAGTCTCAGCAAACCATCGTTGCTGGTTGAATATTATCAACTTCTCATGAAGTTGTTCCATGATAGTAATAGGTGCGCTTCGCACGTGAAAACCCTAATTGGGATACAAAGTACGTGTTGTTTTTCATTTGAACGACTTCCTGTAGGTAAGATGAAGAAGGCATTCCGTACCAAAAGAATAGGTAGTTAATCTTGTATATCTGTTCTACGTGATATTAGAGTTCAATATTGGTATGAAAGAATATAACAAGTCTCGAAAATCACTGTTGAACCACCTACATCAGCAATCAAGACTGCAATTTCATATTCTAGCCCATCGTACGGCAATTTACTGCCTGGAGTTTGACAAACGTGGAGATTACGTATTCACGGTAGGTGCAGCCAACTTTTTCTGTAACTCATTTTGACCAAGTTAGGTTTTTCAATTATTTTTGAGCCTTATGTATAGATAAGGTATATTTGTTTCATTCCAGTGTCTTTTAACTGATGCATCCTGAACTCTTACTCTGTAATGTTTAACATGTATCAGCAGAATCGCTGGGAGAAGCGTCTGTGAAGGGTCTCCGTTTTGTGGAAGCATAACTGGATTTACGCATTTCCTAGTCCAGCAAAATATATCCAATGGGATGTTCACGGCTTTGGCATTACTTTTTAGTTATAAAAGCTACGAAGAAGTTTCAACATGGTCAATAACAGCCTTGTTTCTGGTCTGTGTATGACAGCTTCTTTGGTCACATCGGCGCGGCTTGTTAGAACCCTTCTGAAGAGTCTTGATGCACCAGCAGACATGAAAATAATACCCATCTTTGCACCACAAAAAACGTCTTTAAGTTGTTCCAACTGATCTCATATCTAGTAAGCAGTACGAACACGCATAACGTTCAAGTCAAAGGAAATAAATCTAACCTTATGATTGAAAATCTGCATTAGACCCCAAAGGAATGCGGGAATGATGTACCGGCTGCATTAAAAACGCCTTTCAGATACAGCGTTGCTAAAACATGTAGGGTTGTTGAACAGGTTGGAAAACCAGATCTCTCAGGTGTATAGTAGGGATGCCTACACCAACATTTCGAAATCGGAAGAACTATATATTAGGCAATAAAAAGTGACCGATTCTGTATTGGTTTTCCTTTCAATAGGTCTAAAACCCTCAGCAAGAAAACCGCTCAGATACCTAGACTTTGTGACTACTACCAATATTCCAGTGTTAAGGATGAGTACGAGGTTAGACTGCTGTCTCTCTTATCGGAGTGTTTGCACTTTGGTCGTGAAAAGTGCGTACCATACGTGATCTACATAAATGTAATTTTAGTGACCTGTACGTTATTCTACTTTAAGACTAATATATGCATACTCAATCGAAGTTTTTCTGGTAGTTAGTCTCCTTCACCACTACGCACCTCTCACACAGCTGTTTCAAGAATGAAGTCGGTAACAAAGTTAAAGAAGAAAGGTGGCAAAGGACGTTAGAGCTTCACTCTAACACTTCTTCGGAACAGAGGACAGGGTTGTCTGTAGGTATTTAGTGCGTAATGTTTTTATGCAACCGAAAATGGAATGATTCAGGTTCTCTCAAACTGTTCTAATATGGCCTACGTTCACATGATGTACCTGAAAAGTCCTATTCTACATTCGCATGGTGTGTGGTGTTTTCAAAACAATCAGGTTGTGAAAGCGGACACCTAAAGCTGAAACGGGATTAATGTACACTAAGAGTAAATCTGGGGAGTTAGAAAACCCTGATCCCAAACATTTGCCCCCTATCCAGAACGGATGTGTAGTGTATGAACTTGGTAACTAGCTACCAGGGTTACATAACATACCACATTGCTCCCACTGTTCTACATCCGAGTTCAAGTCAAACTTGAGAATTGGTTCCTTAAGATAACCACTTTCTAAGGTGTGGGTGTCGGGGCATCACCACAGCACAAAATTTATGAATTAACACTAACAATGGATACTACAAAGTACTCATGGAATCTTTTTGCACGAGACATTTCACCATGTAACAAGCTTTCTATCGAATCATTACATTTGTCTTTCTATTGTCATCATTTTTACTTATGAACTACACTTTTTTCGTTGCCGTTTTCAAATTTGTCCTTACATAGATTTTTATTTTACTCGGCTACTGGCCGTTGACAGAAATTCTGGTATGTTTGCATCGTCTTGAGTCGCCAAGCAGTTACTTCCATTGAGTTGTCTTTCTGATAAAACTGTTCCAAAACCGCGCACACCTCTTGAGCTGACCACCCTCAGCGGCCGAACGTTGATACAGATCAGACAACAAGTAGGTTTGGCGTGAACTATGGAAAGCCTCACTACTAATATACGTAGCATTTCAAAAGCCTGCCTACAGAATCCCAGTTTGGTGCTTCATATAACCTCTCTATCTGTCAGGAAAAGTCATTTACCTACGCTCGTCTGATCACCTTGTCATTTGATTCTGGCCAGCCTCATATGGGTGTCTCACTAGCTTCCGAAGCTGCACTAAGCAATAGTCATTTGTGGGCTGTTAGCCTAGAAGGTTCCATCAGCGTAAGAAGTAAATGGCAAGAGAGTCGGCATCTCTCTTTGCTCTAACTGACTGCAACTCACGTGCAGTCAAAAGGGCTGTCTGCCATCAGTTGGATGAATTTTTCTACCAGGTGCGCTACACATACCACAGTGCACACAAGGTACTTATAGATACAGGCCAGGCGTCCTTACGTAGAGGAAGGTTGTTTATGTGGGTATTGAGGATTGATTAGCTTCAGGTCAGATAATGGAGGAAGTCTCCTACAGCTTTGCAAAAATGACAACCTGTTTCTACTCAACTCCAGCTTTCGGTGCAGTCATGTTTGTTGTGCTACCTGGTGTCTTCATTGTATTACTAAAGCCTGAACTCAAATAGACCATACCACACTCAGCTACCGATGACATTAGTGCATTCAGGACTCTCTCCTTCTGGATCACCTGTGTCGACTTCGACCACATTTGATTGTGCACTAGGTTATCTTGTATTTCGGTTGTGATCGAAATGGTAGTTGTAAACAGGTTGACGTAAGGGAATCGATTGTACCTGGTACTGGAAGTGATTAGCAAACCGAATTAGATTCATGGTTAATTGTCGAACCCTTATAAATTATCCATGAGCATTGACTGCAATTACAAGATGCCATAAAATTGGCGAGTACAGTTGCTTGTAGCTTTGCAGAGCCTTACGTCAATAATTTACCTATGAAAACAAAGTAAAACCTCGCACATGACTACATCGGTTCAAGTTGCCACACTTCACAGTAACATGCGAAGAAAAACTGGATATTAAAAGACTAATATCAAAGAAGACAAAGATATGTGGGATGAGGAGGAATTTGAAAATATAAGTTGGTGAAAATATCCAAGTTTTGGAAGACGTCAATGAGTTAACACATCTGTGCGATTGTGACCGGATTTTAGCCACGTCACCAAACGTAGGTCCCCAACCTTTCACTCCGGTCATCTCGATGACCTCAACTAGGTAGTCCACACCTCCCTACACGGTTCAAGACCAACAGTCAGAGACCTTATGCAGTAGTGCCATGCCTTGGTCTGACCACCTTAAGCCCTTTTCTAACTTGATTCAACTTCTACTAGCGTTGCACTCCAAGACTGGAGGTTGCTTGGTATACACACCACATTTCTAAGCCATCTCAATCGGCGAAGGACCCCAACATCATTGATAATGATGATGATGACGACATCATTGACCGATCTGCTTGTCTTCCCTAGTGCTTTTCGCTGACCTCGATGTTACTCATGCGATGATTCCACCATAGACGACATGCAGTGCTACGAAGACACCTATGGTTAGAAATTTGCAGTCTCTTCACATCCTATACTTTCAACAGCCAGTAATTGAATACTTTTGGTAAAATGACTGGAAATCGATCTCATGGAAGTAGATTTATTCACTTTTGTTCAAAGTTCTAAATTGATTTTTCGGTGTAGTTGTCTGTCTTTGACTTACAGATATGGAGTTGGGAGGTGCTGATAAACCCTAAACTGAGACTAAACAACTGTGCAGTGATTACAGGTAACTATCGGCTTTTTACTGAATGTCAAGCCATGAGAATTATCTTTAAATAGCTGTTTATTCACTTTTACCTGGAAATCGGGCTCTTTGACTGAATAACTTGACTATCTTATACTTCATTTGTGTTGTGTGAATGATAATGTAGTAAAAATTGTATTATTCCAAGGAGAACTTTTCTCTGTTTTAGGGATCTGACGATTATACCATAAAAGTTTGGTCTATCAAAGGTTCAGGGAGTACACCAACATGTACTTTGCGCCATACCCTTCGAGGTCATGTTGCGGAAATAATTGAGCTTGCAATATCTATGGATAATCATTTGCTTGCGTCGATAGATTCAAACTGTTGTCTTGTTGTGTGGTGCTTGAAAACTGCTCAACCAGTAGTAGCTGTCCGGGGATCACGTAATAATCGAGTGCTATCTGGTCTGGTTTCAACTGCTCACAGCGTTTCAATGGTTCTCTCACTCATATGTCTCCATGATCAATATCCCCTTGAAATCAGTCGATACACACAAACCTCAAAACGAAATCATGTTTTGCATAGAAAGTCGTCTCTGTGTCTTCTTAACGGTTGCTTTCCGAAGTCAACAGGCTTTCAGTGTCTACAAATTATCGTCACACGACAAGTTGTGAAGAGAACAATGATGCATCATCCTCCTCCTCAACGAAGCATACGTCTGAATGAGGAGCATCTCTGGAAATGATGGAGAAACTCGTGTGACTGTTGTGAATTGTAACAGCATGCAACTTGCACAAACATCAGATATGAAGTGGATGTAAATGAGAGTTCTCACTTCACCCCCAATCATCATGAAGTCAGTTTGAACAACACCAATCTATCAATGCACATCCACCTCACACACTTTCATTGCAATCAGTAAACTGGTGTGTAAATGTGCAGAGTATTTCCAACTTCGATGGAAAACCACGTCACAATTCGATGATTCATGAGATGGAAATGTTAACTAGTTCACTGGTTACTAGTCGGTCGTAAGGCTGGTTAAAGAGGGAAGGTTGGGCAATGGTCAAGCAACCCTACTTCGCAAAACCAATCCAATCGCTGAAGAAACGTGTAAGCAAGCACAAAGAAAATATGAGAAATGAAAACAAAGTTATTCGTCACTGGAATCTGAGAGAGGAAATGATGCCAGTTGGTGAAAGCCTGCCTTCAGGAAGCTAATTGACCGATGTATCTTCTCTCCCCCGATGACAGTGAATGTAAGGATGGGACATGGAATGTGCACACCATGTATGAAATTAGTTGGCATGGCTGTGCAGATTGCAAAAGAGATGAGGAGATATGGGATGAAAGTGTTTGGAATCTGTGAGGAATCTGCAGATGGAATGGAAATGGACTCTCGAAACTGTTCACTGCAGAGTAGTCAATAATCCACTCCGATATTGTCACCCAGACGACAACCACGAACACAGCACACTGAGTTGTGCAGTGGCTATCATGATGTCCTCGAGAGCATCGAAGACTCTGTCTCTCTCTCTCTCTCTTTCTCTCTCTGTCATGCAGTGGGAGTCAATCACCTCCACAATCAGCATCATGACAGCAAGGTTCAACTGGAAAGGAAGGAAGGAAGGAAGCAAAGTCGCAATCATTCAATGCTACGCTTCTCTGTGCACACACAAATAATGCAGATGAAGAGAAGAAGGAGGAATTCTACAGACAACTGCAATCAGTACTAGACAAGACTCCATCCCACTTGGTGACATCGAAATTCTGATGGTTGGTGTGACATGAATGCCAAACTGGGAGTGGACAACACAGGAAGAGAAGTCACCATGGGTGGAGAAGCACTCGGTGAAATGATGAATGAGAATGGAGAATTGTTTGCAGATTTCTGTGCATTCAACGATTTGATGATTGGAGTGAGGCAGTGTGTACAAACACAAGGATACTCACAAGGCAGCGACATGTATGTGGTTTCACCAGATGTACACACTACACTACGAATCAGATCAGGTCAGCTTCATCTCAATGTGAAGAAAGTGTAGGTGTAGCCTACTGAACACAAGATCGGAGAAGGGGAGCAGATGAAGGCTCAGACCATCTAGTGCAAGGAACTCAACATTCTAAATCAAGTTGAAAGGCTTCAATTCAAAGAAGTTGATGATAGACCACAGTTGAAGTTCAACACCCACCCAAAACAGAAAGTGGAGGACGAAACTATGGAGGACATCTTCACGTCAGTCAGTAATCACAACAAAATGGGAGATATTGAGCAACATCCCTGAAGAAACCTGTGTGGATGTACACTGGAACTGTTTGAAAGCTATGTGGACAGAGACCTGCATAACCGTATTCGGAATGAAGAAGAAGCAAAACGAGACAAGACAAGACAAGACAAGAGAAGATAAGGAATTGATCTCGACTGACACATGAATGCTGACAGTGGAGGGAGAGGAAGATGAAGATGGTGAAGCAGAAGATGAATGAGTGCAAGGATGGAGAACGGAAATGATGAACTGAGCACAACGTATAAAACACTACACTGGACAAAGAAGTGAAGAAGCGTGCACTTCGACGACACATTGGCAAGTGAAGCAGAACAGCAACGGCAGAACTACCAGTGAACGCAAGCACTCCGACAAGAGCAGAGGTGAAGTCGTGAATGCCATAAAGTTGCTGAAATCCTGGAAAGCAGCGTGACCAGATGGGATTCCTTCCAAAGTACTGGAAACAGAAGCAGGGGAATTAGCAGTGGACATGCTCTGCTCACACCACTATTGCAGAAGGTTTGTAAGGGAGGAAGTAAAGGTATCTGGTGGTTGATTGGAAGAAGGGCATCCTTGTCAAAATCCCAAATAAGTGCGACCTAAGCCTTTACAAGAACTGGCGAGGAATGATGCTCCACTCCTGTCCACCCAAAGCAAGCAAAATATTATGCCACATCATCCTGGAGAGACTACAAAATGCTCTGGATTCAAAATTACGACTGGAACAGGTTGGCTGCATTCAGGAAGTACAAATCATGTGCCGATCAAATTGCAACGCTATGCTACACATCATCATAGAACAGAGTATAGAATGACAGTCAACTCAACTCTACCTCAACTTCAGCCACTTTGAAAAGGCCTTTGAAGTGAGCACAGATAGGAGTAAGACAAGGTTGTCTACTATCACCCATGATCTTCCTGATTGTGGTCGACTGGAATGGATCATGCAACAAACAGTGAGGAGCGTGAAGAGGGGTATAGGCTGGCTCGACCGAGGAAACGATCCTAGAAGATTTGGATTTCGCTGATGACTTGTGTCTTATGTCGAACAAAATTTGAATATCTACAGGCAAAACTAACTAGTTGACAGAAGAGGCAGGGCAGTACAGGGCATCGAAGATGGGACATCAGGTGAATGTGGAGAAGACAGAGGTGATGAAGATACCCAACCAACGCAACCATCAACAACAAGAGGCACCAATCACCATCAATGGGAGAAGCCTAAATGAAGTAGTCTCTTTCACCTATCTAGGCAGGCGAACACCATTTCAACTACAGGAGGCGGCAGGCACAGGCACAGACGAGGATGTCAAAGCCAACCAGGATCGGAGAAGCAAGACACGTCTTCATTAACCTGAGATCAGTGTTGAGATCTCCTGCACTCTACTCAGCATGAGGCGTGAACAACACCGATTTTCAACACCAATCTAGTGGCGTCAGTGCATCTATGTGATGTTTGAGAGACTTGGCGAGTTACGAGAGGGATTTCCAACAAACTACAGACATTCATTGACAACTGCCTACACTGGCTCGTTACTGAAGCCTGTACGGCCAGGAAGAATATGGAAAAATGAACTGTGGAAACAAACCAACAAATATGCAGATGGAAGTGGAGGTGGATTTGGCATGCACAGAGAATACCATTCGAAAACATCACTCACCAGGTTCAGGCCCTCGAGTGGAGCCCAGATCGCGAGCGACGAGTTGGGCGTCCGAGGCGATGTTGACCTGGAGGAGATCATGTGGGGAAGAAATGAGAGCTTGTTGGCTGTCATGAAGCCAGGTTGATAGAGAAGATTGCAGAGAACAGAGTGGAACTGAGGTGTGCTACTGAATCCCCATGTTCCACTAGGAACCAAAGGGAACAGAAATAATAATAATGAGAAGATAAGGTTTCACTGACTCCATTCCATACAGTGGAATCATAACCCTAACCACAGTTGAACACAAATTCCACATTTTATACTGATGCATATATATCAATGTGACACTTGAGCAGTTATTTACTATTGTTAATACCATGCCATGTCACTGCGAAGTTGCTCAGTTCATGTGAACACAGTCCTGAGTGATACAGCCAAATCCATTGTGTCATACTCAACCAACACCACTCTCACATCCATGTCTACACTTCAGTGGATAGTTCTCTATTCACAAATTACTGTACATTTACTCATCATTGATAAAGTCTGTTTAGCTTAGCTGACTGAAGTGAATCATCTTGCGTTGTATCACCAGTCGGCGTATCGTCCATGTCTTGCACTCTCCGTTCCATCACCATCATGATGAGGGTGTCATCGAGATGACTATCAACCACACAGGAAGGTTGAACTGTTGTAACTGTCATTGACACATAATTCATTGAAGATGAGTTCCTGTCCTCATAGTGACCAGATTGCATTGCATTGGTTAGTGTTGTGGAATGGTAAGCTGCACAACAATATTCAATGTTGGTTGATCGCAGTATTTACAATCATCCGATGGTAGTACTGTAGTCAAATGTGAATGTCAACATTCCAATCAAAGTGAACATTCAACACATGGAATATGTGGCAAGCATTCCAAAATGCTGTTGAAATCATCTTCTACAACACCTACACAGTGGTGATAAGCATCATCTATCCATCGGATATTTCAGTGGCAATCAACAGACAAAATAAGTGAGAAATATTTGCTGGTTGATTTTCTGCTGTGTATCTCAGCACATCCATTGAACTATGTGCTCGTGAACATTACCCAACTGCATTGTTGAACACCTCAAACACCCTGGACATCTGCATCAACAGGAAATCTCGTTGAAATTTACTCTCAAATTTACACCGAAATATTCAATTCACACTCTCAAACCTCACTTGTCTATCCAAGGATAACACGTGCAGACACTCTGTTGACCATGACATTAAACAGATACTCTACACCCCTGAGTATGCTTTATCTCCCTATTTCATTCATTCATCTGACTACCATCCATTCATTGATTTATTACTACCAGATATCTTGTTGCAGTTCCATGCATTTTCGTCAATTTTATCAGATCTACGTGACGATCTCCTGTGTTATGTAGCATCATCTACTTCCCTGCAAGCATCAGTTTAGTAAATTTCATTGTGAACTGGAAACTTGTTTGGAACATTCCACCATATTGCCAATATGTTTACGAACGTACAGGTAGGACGATAGATCGCTGACAAAATGATGGACTGTGTTGTGGTCTACATTTGCTCCTCTCTGACATGGTCAGGATTTCGCCTCACAAAATACTGAGTAGTTAAGTGAATGCAAATCTAGGTGGTCAGTACATTAGATTTGCCTACACAGATTATACTTCTGCCTCCCACTCTAGCTCTATAATCCTTTTGAAAAACAAGCTTGTCAGAATTCACATTCACTCCTCAATTACAAACTGACTTGATTCTTGTTTACCGAGAGAAGACCCCACACTCTATACACAGGCAAACGCTCCACTTCGCTTTTCAGTGAGCATCTCTTCGAGAAAATATATACCATATAGTGGAGAATATTTGTAGCTCAGATGGTTGCTTGCTTGCTTGCTTTGTGTTCTCCTACCTCAGTTGGTTAATCGTTAAGCTTTCATCGTCCTTCTAGACAACGTCATCAGCACTAACTTCACTAGGAATTCCTACTCAAGTTTCTGATGATGATATCGTCTAGAAAGATGATGATAGCTTCACGATTAAACAACCCAGCTTATAGATGGTGTGCTGTAATTTTCATGATCACTGACAAACTCGTGTATAGTCGCATAATATCAGCCAGTTGTCGACGTTGACAGAAATGTGAGTAAACTCTAATGGTAAGGAGGTTAAGCTTAGATTTTAGACCATGGTATTCGCAAATGATCTCCAAATTCTTCACCTGTTCCACAATCTACTGATTGATTCACGTCAGTCAGTGAGACAGAGTCAGTTGATAAGGCTAACTAACTTCTCTATAGATAATTCCATCCAGATGAATTACTGTTCACGTAATTAGTGTACAATTGAAATCATTGTTTGCTGTATTGGTCACTCTGATCTCGCTGATAAACTGATGTCAGTATTTTTGATCTACTAACGTCCTTCATCACTAGTATATTTTATTCATTTTATAAAGTTCATTGAGACATTATTTTCTCATTCTTCCAGAATATTCAGTGATTTTGTAGACATTTTCATCTGATGAATAATGGAATTGTGAAGTGGTATTCCATCGAAGATGGAAATAGTTTGTAAATAGATGTGTGTGTGAGTTGGGTGTAGTTAGATAGTTAGTTGATAGACTGGTGTTGTTCAAATTGACTTCCTTATGATTGAGGATGAAGGAGGAAAAGCTGGGATGGCTGAACACGTCTCTCGTCCTAGTATGGGACTTCACAGTAGTACACTACCATCGCAGCACCACAGACGCAAGTCATAACCTTCACACCTCACGGCAAATCCAGTTACCATCCATCCAGCCACTGACTTGCTTTACACAGTACATACCTTTTCAACCAGCGTCAGTCATTTCGTGCTACAGCAATCCAATTCACTAAACTCATCACCTACCATCTACTACACTTCCAACTGGTTGACCACATAGATCACAGCCTCTCCCCACAACTTCATGATATCCATCTGTAAAGGAGTCACTCCTGTGCACTAGACAGCAATTTATTTTGAGGTTCTCCACGATTTTCTTTATTTCAAGTTAGTATTCATGATCAAGTGACATTTCATATGGGGTCGTGAGTGTTCTATTCTCGGAAGAATGTGTTGTCTGGTTGTGTTGTCAGCTTTTCAATGGCTCTCCAACTGGTGTTAGTTAGTCATGAATACTACCTTCAGAATAAACGTCATCTATCAATCAACACTGTTCGGTTACGTCTTCACAATAATGCTCAGGAGTAGAATATAAAATTATGTCTATTGACTGGAGGTCGAGTATTTGAACACAAAGATCTGATTACTTCAGTCAAATTCTGTGCTATACATTCTCCTTATAAATTGGAATATCAACTCTGTGTATCACTCTCTCTCTCTCTCTCTCTCTCTGTCTATTCCATTACTTCATCAATTAGCAGTTCCACTTCACCATGTGAAACGTGACAACATTTGTGAAGGACACGAAGGCGATTCCATTTCTGCAGTAGGCGATATGTGCACGATTGCAAATCTATAGTTTCATCATAAACATTTCAGTAGAAAAACTTACAGCCTGAATATCTGAAGGCGATTTCATTGTGACTCTCTTCATGATAACGGAATAGAGAATATGACACTCCAGAACAATATTCTCGATATTCTCGCATTCGACAGAATGCAGAACCTGAGGAAGCTGCACAGTCTATCGAAACTCCTTCGTAACTAGTTCCAGATCATGGACAATCTTAGGCCTACTCTATATATAATCATACATTCACTTGAATCTCACTGGTGTCACGCGACTGAGATACCCAGCAATAACTTCTATCTGTATCTAGGAATTCACCGAGTTCCATATTACCTCAGTCCTTCTGTAGAATCATACTCTTATGTTTTAATCGGAGTGGCTGTAACAATATATGACTACGTGCGATCTCATCAAACATTTAAACGTGGCGAAAACTTCAGTGTGGAAGAGCCAGTTATATACACACCATTGCTTCACTTAATTTTAATTGTACCTGTGCAGACTAGTCTGAATGAAGTTAATGAGAATTTTATCACTATCCGAAACTGATACCCGAGAATCTTTCCTCAAAACAAAATAGCTGCATCATTCCATTGACAATAACTCCTTCTCAACATAAAACTTTATACAGATTTGCACACTAACCATCATCAACACCTCAGTGTGTGGTGTGGAAGGTGTTCGCGAACTCGTGAGTCACTTGATTATCTCGTGGACAAGAAGTTAATGAGATCACGGGGAGTAGACTTCATCAAATCTTTCCGGACTGATGCTGAAGTCACTATCACACTGATCATGGCATTGTCATCACAGATGCAATCATCATGAATAACATACTGAGAGTGAAACTGCTATTCTTTGTGCAGCTAGGCTTAGCCTAACACACACATGATGGCACTACTGTCGATAGACTAGGATGTAGTAGAACAACCTGCCTCATACATTTAGTCAGTCTGCATATCACATCTTGAAGATGTTCTCAACCATTATCAAACGAAAGCATGTATCAACTGTATTGGAATTCACATGACACTGTGGAAAGGAAGTTGATTGAAATACAGTAAGAAATGAAGATAATCGAGGCGTTTGCCTCAGTGAACAGCCTCCATCACATTATGTCAGGAAATCAGTATTAACCCTTCACACACACACACACACACACACACATCTACACAAACAGCATAGCAGAGCATATCCACCTACATGAACCACATGTTTCTGCAGATTAGATATGCAGGAATGCAGACAATGAAAACAATTTGATTGGAGTTATTGGGAGAGTGTCAGAGTTGAAATTCACTAGACGAAATACTGTGGAGTAAACGAAATGCAGGTGACGAAATTCATGTATTTACAAGCAATGAAAATTATTCATTTCTGTGGCTCAGTCTAATGTGTCTGTCCCACTCATCATCTCCGATGAATGAATTCCTAGTGATGGAGTGGGGAACGACTATGCGAAGATAGTGAATGAGACGATGATGCAATGAGAGATCAATTGGAGTGCTGTCTTGTTCGAAGTAGTCATGATGACCATGTGTAGTTTCGTGTTCATTGAGGACATGGTAAGAAAGAGTTGAATATTGCATAGTATTTTTGAAGGCGTGTATGATAAGTACAGCATTTCAGTCACATGCAATTCTCTGCATCACAATGACCAAATTCATTGTCAACTCACTTCTCACACTCATGGCTTCCAAATGGTGATCGCTTTTATGAATGGAAGGTGTATGTGAGTTTTCACTTCCTCAAGTTGTTTTGTTCACAGTTCTCATTGCATGAGCGAAGTGTAGTTGTGATACGCATTGTTTGGTCATCATAACCGATTATATAACTTGCATAAACCTTGACTGTTTGAATGTCAAGGATTAGAAGATGAGTAGGTAGACACTCAGAGTAAACCCTTGATGATACTCTATGAGCTGACTGCTCTCCTCCTCCTCACTTGTTTCAGTTATAGCTTCACACAAGTGAGTAATAAAATCAAACAAGTGCATGTGCAGCTGGCGAACATTGATATTCTTGCTTGTATTTCAAATTCACCATCTCATCACACCTTGCTCACTACGCACTGAGAAGACGGAAACTACCACACCTCCGACCATCTCCACTCCACGCTCCTACACACAAAGAGTACTCCGTTCAAATGATCGCATTCTCCTTTCACATTATGCACAAGTCAACCAATGTTGCACAATATACATTTACTCACTCCATCATAGACTGGATTTGCTTGTGACCAGTGTGGATGATGTCGTGTGACTCACTGTCTCGGTGCAAATCGTTCCACACTATGGAGACCACATCAACAAACACTGACTGAAATCTAACTTGATTCATTGCCCTTCTCAGAGTTGTTTCCTACAAGTGTTACACAATCACCTCCAGTGATATGTGTCCTATCACTATCCCGATTACCACGTTGTCAGTTAGCTGGTAGTGCAAACTATTCAACTG